CCGTATCCGCAAGCGCAACCGCCGGCGCCAACGCCAAAGCGACCAGCAAGCGTCGACGATGACGACGATGACGACCATTTGATACCACACGTCGACACGCATCCACTTGAATCTACGTGGCGGATCGCCTGGTCGCTACACGTGTACGTCGCGGCGATTATGTTTACGCTCATGGCCTTGTATTCGATCTACAAGATCGTGCGTTTCAACGAGGCAACGAATCTACTCACGCAATCGTACTTCTTAGCCGTTCATCTACTGTTGACCACAATCTGCACTCTGAGGTGCTTTCACCTCTTTTACGACGCTTACAATCTCGGACATTCGCTGCCGGAGTCATTGTCTAGAGTGCTAATGTACCTGCCGGCACCACTCTTGTCTACGGCATTTGCCACTTTAATGTTGTACCTTGCTCGGTGCTCGGAAGCACCATCGCTTAACAACAACATCCTCTCGCCTATTACGCTTGTATTTTCATCCACGGTGCACATTATACTGTGCGTATCCCTGCACGTGTCCGCGCACATGCTCGGCTATCAGGACGAGGCGAGAATTCTGCCGCTCATCTGTCAGTGCATTTACATCATCGTCTGCATCACTCTAGGTCTATGCTACATGTACGTGTACCGCGTGGTGCGTTCGCAGATTCATATAGCCAGCAATAAAGCAGCCGGCGCAAATCATATGATGGGCGCCGATCCTACTACGGTGGCTCTCAGCACTGCCATCACCACCACTATTGCCACCGCTCTGTTGTTCATCCTCATGGGTCTCGTGCAGCTCTACGGCGTATTCGGTGTTCAGGAACGTCCGCAACAATTTCCGTGGCTCTGGTGGGGCTGGCAGTTCTCCGTCAGATTACTAGAGCTATCCGTTTGTGGTCTCCTAGCCTGGGTTGCCAGCCTATCTCAATATCCGTTGCGCGAGAAACAGATGCAGCAACACTCGGCACACTCGGGCTTCGCTTTGTTCCCCTGCGGCAGTTCCACCTCTACGGAAAACATGGATGACGTACTCTACCCCGCCATATGTAGTACCAACCAAGCGATTCAAAATTATACCATGAGAACAGGAAAACAAGTCTATGACGATAGTTTTCCACTAAATACTTTGCCCGAGCATTTGAACATATCAGGTAAAAAAATTGTAACATCTCATATTTCTCATTAACAATCTATTTATAATTGAATGTTTAAAATTTACTTCTCATTATCAATCTAAAAAAAAAAGAGAATGATATTATATTAATTATTGGACTGTTTTTTTTTTCAATATAACTGTTAATTAATTTGCAGTAACTAATGATTATTTGTTGCACAGGTACCTTTGAGAGACATTCCATCCGCAAGTCAGGTACAATGGGCCACTTTCCTCACGAAGGTCGGGGTTCCTTAAGTCGCCATGGAAACGGTATACAAACTCTAAGGAACTCAGAGACTCGCGGGAGGCATACGCCTGTACAAGGCCTACACGAACAAGCTCCAACCAGCGGCTCGACGATGCTAGTCGCCGAGGACGGCTTCGTTAGGTTCCGGAGTCTTGGTGCGGAGGAAGATGAGCTGTCCGATACGCAAAGCATGGTCGGCACTCACGGCAGGGGAAGTTCGCTCGCTGGTAGTGTTAGATATAACGCGAGGCATCCCACAGTACAGCATCAGCACCCCCATCAGCACCAACACACGCTGCAACACTCGCATCCGAGTCAACATCAAACCCACCACCAACTTTACAACAACACATAAAGGCTGTGCCAACGCGATGACTAGAACGTGATTCTTGTTGACTCGGTAGGTAACGAAAAATAAACTTTTAATCGTTTATTATTTTATTAATGAGAAATATGTAAAAAATAAAATGCTAGTAAATGCATAAATAAGATGCTAATATCACAATATTAGCAAAGAATTTTTTATAATAAATAAATTTTGGGATAGATATAAATAATAAAATTTTAAATTATTTTTTTTAGCTTTATGAGTGATGTAATATAATTGGTGTTCTTTTGTTGCAGACGTAACGATTGTCGTCGATGAAACAGGATATATCGACACTCGCGAGAATCGTCGCCCTCGCAAACTTCGGTCTAAACTAATTTTATCTCGTACTCTATGTAAGATATGTCCTGTGTATAGACAACCTAATTGCCATTCCTGCTCTCCCGCTTTGCATCGACGTCCGAGCCAAGCCTCTGCCGTACGATATCTATACATATTTATTTTGATCCTCGATAAGCAAGTAAAAGTATACGGCGAACTCGTTTGGGGTTCCTCTACCTATATGTGGGTAGTTCAGGGTATATTGAAACTTGATCTTATATTAGGCACTTGGTACTTATTAAGATTCATGTGATTGAAAAAAAATAAAGAAATAATGTGTCTCACTGAAGTATATAGGAAAATGCTTCTCTCTCGGTTTTATGTTCACTGTTAGTACCGAACACGGCTGTGGAACGTATTGGAGGAACAAATGATTTTAAATTAGTTCTAATGCCACATAAGGAATTCCGATGTATTTTAGCAAACATACTGCTATTTATTCGATGCCACCTTATAGAAGACTTCGGCGTTATATTGTCCCAGCAGTTTTTATAACATTCATTATTTTACATAGTCGTACATACGTTAAAAAGCATTTCAATGACCACCTTTCAATTGGTACTTGTTCTTCTTTGAATTTACTATTGTGACGGAAATTCGACATAAAGTCAGCTTTGCGATCAGCAGGAAGTATATTTTTTACAAAAAAAATTGTACGCGAGGTCCAAACACTCAACTGGGGAAAACAATTACGATTCTCATTCAGGTATTCCGAGATTAGGATATGATTGTGTCAAGCTGAAAGCGATGTTTGTACAGTCGATGATAATTTATCACTCAGTCCAATTGTACGATTTAGTTAGCGGCTAAGATTAGATTAAGAAAATTGCGGGTTACGTTAAGTTTAGCCATTAAGTTAGGCAAGACGCGACTAATGTCAACAGGTTTACATTTAATAAATCGAAGGAGAATAAGGAAGACGTCAAAAAAAATACTATTACCGATTTAGAATAGATGACATAAGTGCGATTTAATGTCACACACACACAGGCCAGCATTTTATTTTATTTCTCAGATTCTAAGGTACAAAATAGTACTTTTTACCTTTCACTTCGTATATCGATAGGTCGCAATGTATATGTTTATATATGGACATTGTAAATAAGGTATACTGGCTCGTCGTGAGTGAATCTACTGTTATGATTGGATCCAATTGGGGTTGGGTTCGAGATATTGGAATTTATACATTTCTTGGTTGTATAAAAAAAGATGCAAGACTTGTATTTTAATTTATGTCAGAAGCTGTATTTATTATGTGAAACATTCCACAACAAGTGATCAGTGTGTGCGCGATCGATTTGTGTGGGATTTTATTGCAATTATAAATTTACCTAGGCGCTAAATGAAACGGAACAAATGTAAATAAAAGCTTTTTTGCGAAGTCTTACGTTTGTCTTACTTTCGAATGCGATTTTAGTCATTCTAGATGCAGCAAATGTACGTAAAACATACTTCTGATTTTTACATTTTTATAAAAAAATGAATTTTAGTTTGAATATACCTTCACAGGTTATTGTGTTCACATTATTAATTTATATCGGGATAGCATAATTTAGATAAATTTTACAAGACTGCAGTCAGAGTTTATAATTTGACATGCATTACACAAAAATGTTCCCAAATTTAGGTTTCCTATAAACAAATTTTATATTGTAATATATAAATATATAATGTGTTAGTATTATGTATGCATATTTAAATGTTTTTGTTTTTTATTGTACCATTTCTTTCCATTTTCATTCTCCATTTCGTTTAAATTCCTCATAGAAAAATATCATGCATGTTATTTTATTTTCAAAGAATATTTATTAATATTATATTTTATATATTGATAAATATGTTTTATATTTTATATACGATGTCTACATAAGAACGAATAACAACATCACATTGATTTCTTTCGAAATCTATTAATATTTGATTTTGGTAAGTATATTTTATGAAAATATATAACTCCTTATTTTAATGACAAAAATTTGATTAACGATGTTAAATAGAAGTATTAAACATATTAATACACATTAAAGTATCTACTAATTAAGGCTTCTGAATAGTCACCACAACCATATTGAATCAGAAGCGAGAAATGACACGTTAATTTTTATTACATGCCATTTATAAATAAAGACAATTTGAATAAAAGAAAATGACGAGAAAATAACGCATGCGCATTAAATAAAAGCACTTAATGCGCCTCATTTTTTACATCATAAATGAATCATTTGAATCATTATGTCATGATTCAATATGGTTGTGATAACTACTCAAGAGCCTTATTAATTAGATACTTTGTGGACTTTATACCAGGAAGCTTACAATGTTTTTGAGAACGCAGAAATGTAGTGCACTTATACTTAATTTTTCGTATCTTTATCAAACTCTGATAAAGCAAGATAAGTTATATAAAGCAAAGCAGTCTCGTCATTGATTTAGTGTTTGCTCATAATTCATTAATTCATTGACTTGTAATAATCCTTCGCGTATTACTATAAATAGATAGTGTAATATTTAACGTATAAAATATTAGTAAATTGTATCAATTAATTATAATAACAAAAAAAAGAATGAGTTTAAATAAAAAGTGTGTTACATTAAGTGAAGTGAACAACAAGTTCACAGACGATGTGCTAATAAATATCCTCTCCAAAATATGCAACGGAAAAGACGTGCAATTGACAGATTGGAGTTTTAACGAGGGATCTGCTAAAGGTGATAATTATTTGTCAAATATCTACAAGGGCAAAGTGAATGGCATTATAAATGGCGATCCAAAGCAACATGTACAAGCAAATATTGTCGTAAAGTCAATGCCAAACAATCCTGGAACACGAAAGACTCTCAGATGTGTAGACTTCTTCAGTAACGAAATCGCTTTTTATACGCAGGTAAGATTAGACATTTATATTTCTTTTTCTGAGACTTGTACATCTTCGTTTGAAAAAAATTATATTTATTTGTGTAATCAAATAAACCATTCTCTAATTATTTTACAGATTATATCCAAATTTGAAAACTTCCTAGCAGAAAAAGGACAAACCGATCTATTATGCATACCACGCCATATAGCCTCCTCCACAGATAGTGAAAATGGTTTTCTAATTTTAGAAGATGCTTCTTGCTTAGGATTTCGGGCCGTCTCACGACATAACTGCCTAGATTGGGCAGAATGTTTAGGTGTCTTGAAGACATTGTCCAAATTTCACGCAATCTCATTTGCGTACAAAGATCAAAAAAAGGAAGAGTTTGCAGAAATGACAAATTCTTTAAAAGAAACCTTCTTCGGCCATGAACACTGGGACTGGTACAAAGGATTTCATGTAAGTAATAGCGAAATGATAGCATTAGTTTTCTTTCTGGAATAAAAGGATCTTTTTCCAGGAAAAGATACAAGTTCTAATTAAACAAGCATTAGCTACCGAATATCCCAACAGCAAAGCTGAGAAACAATACAATTCTTACAAATTTGGTGCTCTCTTTAACAAGTGTACAGAACTATGTGATAGAAGAGATGCTCCTACATCTATCGTAGTGGAGGGTGATTGTTGGGGTCCAAATTTTTTAATCCGCGACATTGGAAGAAATCAAAAGCAAGCATTGATGCTCGACTTTCAGCTTGCACGTTGCGCAAGTCCTGTCACAGACCTATCGTTTCTAATTTATGCTTGCACTCTGAAGTCATTTCGTGATCAATATTTTGATGAGATATTAAAAACGTATCACTCCGAGTTGAGCAATGCCATTAAATTACTCGGGTCTGATCCAGAGAAACTTTATCCATGGGATTTATTCATGAAAGAGGTAAAAAGAGATCGTTTTATGATAATTTTTCTCAGGAGAGACAATACTATAACCAATGTGTAATTAATTTCAGGTGAAGGAGCAATTTGTGTTTGGTGTGTTTGCTTCGCTTGAAGCTATTCCATTATGCCTGCTAGATTTATCCGAATCATTTACTATAGACGCTGCTGTTGAGGGTGATGAAGCAATAGATATTAGTGATGCGATATCATTTTCTTATCTTACAACAAGCGGAAGGCAAAGACTAGCGGATGTTATAGTTCACGCTGTTGAAAAAGGATACATATAACACAAAGAAAGCTTTACTATAAGATGATCTGCTGTAAAATATAATTAAAACAATTAACAAGCGTATTATTTGATATAATTTAATATAAAAAACCAGCCAACATATCGAAGATTGCTTACAACGGATGGCATTATACCTAGAGTTTATGGATTGACTAAAATACGTAAGGACAGCTACCTATTGAGAGTGATTGTATCTTGTATTAATAATTCACTATATTATCTTTCTCTTTTCTTACACAATATAATTAATGACAGCTAGCATACTAAAAGCTTCTAGATAAAAGATAGTTTCCATTTAAAAATATAAATAAACCGTGGTTCTAATAAAAACAAACAATTCTTTGTCTAAAAGGCATATACCACGAACACCAAATAACAGTGGCGATTATTTTAAATCCTTTATTAAATACATGGAATCTTACATATAACGACTTCCCTCTCCACTTGTTTATGATTTATATAAGTTGGAAATGTACGTGGAGATGTTAGTATGTCGCCACAATTTGAATGATACGGAAAGTTATCCGCGTTGACGTTACGAACTGGATTATGAGATAGTGTAACACAAATGCGTTTAAGATGATAACAGTCTTAATTGTTTCATGTGTACTAATAATGGTGTTGTTATTAGAATCAGGAAGTTTGCGTTCTATTATCGATTTTATGGAGAGCCTTGATGTATTGTGAAAAAATGCTGGTAATGTTAAATTAACATAATCGCACAGGTATGTGATAAGGAAATAATTGAATTTTAAGTAAGTTTTTGACTATCAAAGATTAATAATTTGATAGAATCTGGTAACTCTGTGTGATGCAACAAGGATTTTTTGATGTGACAAATGAGACTAGCAAAGTATGAAGCATAAGGGACGAAAAGAATTTATGACTTCCGTTTTTAGGAGAAAAGGAAAAAAAAATTTTTTTATGTAATGATAGACGTTAAAAATGATATGACTAGAAGTTATTTATAAGTAAGATCGACGGCTTAACCAAATTGTAAAATTATGTTGCGTAGGATAGGAACATGCTAATTAATTTATAATAGAACTGTTAATACTGAAGATGGTCCGATTGAGACCGAAACGTTTATTTTCAATTCCATGTATTTAATAAAGGATTTAAAATAATCGCCACTGTTATCTGGTGTTCGTGATATATGCCTTTTAGACAAAGAATTGTCAGTTTCCATTTAGTAGATAAATTAAGTGGCACACGTTTTGATTCTCAATATGTTTTGGCTTCGTTAGATATAGTATCTCTTTTTATTAATATTCCTGTTGATCTAGCATTGAATAGCATCGATAAGAGATGGGATCACATTTCAGCGAAGATAGACATTTCTAAAAACGAATTTATTATTGTAGTTAACTTTATTTTATATTCAACCTTTTTTGCTTTTAACAGTAAAACTGATAAACAAGTTTTTGGTACTCCAATGGGTTCACCGTTATCACCAATAATTGCCGATATTGTAATACAAGATCTAGAAGAAATAGCAATTAATAAATTATTAATACAACTATTGTTTTATTTTATATGTGTTGATGATGTCATTCTTACACTCCCATCTGATACTAACAATGATACACTGAATACTTTCAATTCTTTTCATACAAGATTACAATTTACTATAGAAGTTGGTAAAAATAACAGATTGAGTTTTCTTGACACTATGCTCATCATAGATAATCAAAGAATTATTTTTGACACCTTTCATAAAAAGACATTTTCAGAAAAGTTCCTTAATTTCCATTCAAACCATCCTCTCTGCCACAAAAAAGGCACAATCATTAGTTTTATAGACAAAATTATTCTCTTATCACATCCTCGGTTTCAACAAAAAAATTTGATAGACGCTGTTCATATTTTCCTAAATAATTGTTATCCTCTTTCTTTTATCTTCTCTATAATTAAACAAAGATTAAAATTCCATATACATAATAAACACAATACACGTAATGTACAGACGGTGCCTCAACACCTGAAATTGTACGAGTATTGGGACACATTAGCGTACTCTGAATGTCTCTAATACTCGTACAATTTCAAGTGTTAAGACATACCTGTCACCATCTGTACACGTTAAAGATAAATATTTCACAATTCCTTACGTCATATCTATTTCCTTCCTATTTCCAGTATATTTCATTGCAAACTAGCCTTTTCTATCCGTAACACCTTAAGAAGTTTTATTAGAAGAGGAAAAGACAGGTTAGAGCTACTATCTAATCAGTAATATATAAGATTTCTTATGACGATTGTAAAGCTATATTGGTCAGACTAAAAGAAAATTGAGTACGAGATTACACGAACATATCTCCGATATTAAGAAAAAGACTGGTACTCTTACTCATAACCGATCATCGTATCAATTTTGACCACAATTTCAGATGGAACAAAGTGAAAATTTTGGATAGGGAATCTCCGTACAACAAAAGATTGGTGAAA